TCTCTCTCCTCTGTCTCTCTCCTCTGTCTGTCTGTGTTTCAGGTCTGAACTGTTGGACCATGTGGACACTATGGACAGCAGTCTAGAAAACCTGCAGAACATCCTCAATACACAAACCTTCACCTTCGACACCTCCCCCATCATTGAGGTCAGTCGTCAAATTAACATGTTATGAACACGCCAACTCTATGAACATGTTAACAGTATATGAACATGTTAGTGGTATGTGAACGTGTTGAATCACATGTGTGTTTCCATGTTCAGTTTTTCGGTTCACCCTCTGGAGATTTTGACCTTGACTGTTTGGACAATGTGAGTTCAACAGACTTTTACTTTGCATGTTCACTTCCTGTCTCATGTTGAAATAAAAGCACCATATTAACACAAACACGTTCATACAGGTATGTTTACATGTTAGTATACATGTGAATACAAAGGTACACACGTGTTGGTGTTTATGATGTCACAGCCGTCTCACTGTGATGTCTCTGTCCTATCAGCTGCTGGCTGAAGAGGCTCCGAGAGGAAGTGATGGAAGCAGCCACACAGGTAACATACACACACACACTCTCTCACTCACACACACACACACACACACACACACACACACACACACGCACTCACACACACACACTCACTCACACACACACACACACACACACACACACACACACACGCTCTCTCACTCACACACACTCTCTCACAAACACACACACACACTCACTCACACACTCACTCACACACTCACACACACACACACACACACACACACACACACACACACACACACACACACTGGGTGACTCTGCTGTTCTGATTGGTCCAGGGAAACAGCTGGTGCAGTACTCTGCCACACCTGTGTTGATGTCTGAACCAATCAGCCTCGGGGAGGGCGGGGCTGACCTGCCGTCTCTGCTGGAGCTAGAGGCGGAGCCTTTCCTTACGCCCGACCCATCCACTGATGACCCGGCAGCCGACCTGTTGAGCCACACCCACTTGGACTCTGACCTTTGACAACATAAAAATGCGATGACTCATCAGTAACCATGGCAGCAGGACAATCTGAGCACTGACTCAGCAGCAATAGACAATGATGTAATCATCAATCAGCTGCAGTTCATCCGGTCAAAGCTCATGTTTTTAGTTTGCAGATGTTATTGATCGATATTAACCATTTATAGACCTGCGTCCTTCTTCTATGCTTTTATTTTAGCTTTGTTTTTATTTGAGCTTTTTTCAATTATTTGACAGTCACAAAAAAAACTCAGAGAACCAGGGTCACGTCTGTACCTGCCCGTCCAATGAGAAGCAGCTCTGAGCTCAGTTGATGATGTCACGTGGACAGGTGAGGTAGGATCATGTGATCAGGTTGTTCCGTGTTCTGCATGTTTAAGTCAGATTTGATTTGTCTCTGTTTTCATGTATAAGATATAGATTCAATGAGAAGAATCTGTATATTTTTGGAAAAGTTTATTATGAATGAGAACACCCCCATCACCTCTGTTACCATGGAGACGACATGAAGGCAGATTGATGGATCTGATCGATTAGATCAGGTATCAGCCATGTTGTTGATGATTGATTAAATAGTTGATCAGTGTGCTCTCGTACCGCTCCGTGTCTTTCTGTTGCTTTAGGCTCATGTTGTGTTCAGGGTCACCTGCTCTGATTTTATTTTCTGAACCCAGAGAGTGAACCGAGCTGAACAAACTGAATTTGCGTAAACAGTTTTTTCTGAGTGACAAAGCAGAACGACTGATTCATGTAGCATTTCGATGGTTGTCCTGCTCAGAATGAAGCGTGGAGGTAAAGTGTCACAGGTCAGAATAAATCACAGAAACCAGTGAAACAGACGACACAGACTTGAACAGATGCTCTGTGATCAAGGAGCTGCCCTTCAATATAAAAGCCTCTGTCGTCAATATGTTTATATTTGTTTGATCATGTTTTAACATTTTTATATCGATTACATCAAATTCTAGCTGTTGGATTTATTCTTGCTCTTGGGAGAGGAGGATTGTAATAAATTATAAACATTGAAGACAGGGTCAAAGGTCAGATCAAGTGTGAAACTGAAAATGATTTCATCAGATCAGTTTTACTAATAAAGATCAATTCAAGTTCCTCTTCGTTTTGAATTGAAGACAAATTCTCAGTTTGATGTTCAAAATAGTCAAAAACATTTATTGTGGAAGTTTAAACATTTCAATCCTGACAGTGAAGATGATGTCACATCCTGTATGATGTCATCAAGTCAAGATTCCTCCAAAACGTTTGTATTTCTGCTCAGTGATTCTAAAACAAAATAAAAGTCTATAAACAAACTCCACATTTTAAATATTAAAAAAACATGAGACACTGCTGCTGAGAGGGCGGCGTCTACAACTAGTGGGAGGAGTCATGTTTCCTGGGCCATGCTGATTGGTCGGTACACTGGAATCTGTAGCGCAGGAATCGAACTCGTGGCTTAATGTGGAAGTCAGCAGGTATCCTCCAGTTCCACATTTTCTGCACCTGTGACAGAAAAACAAAGATTAAAGTCAGATTTGACTTTTTACTCTTTTAAATCAAAGATATCGATTCATGCTCAGGTTGTGACACTCATAGATTACAGCTGTCAATCACACTGTGGTCTCCACCCCCAACACATCCAGTTCTTTCTGCTCTGTCTGACTCTAAATGATCTTCAGTGATAAACGAACATCAGCTGTTTGAAGACGACTTGAAACTAGAGACTGAGACAAAAACTTCTGAGGACAAAGTTTACTGACGTTAGAAAGTGAGAAGAGACATTTTCTGGAGAAACTACCATGTGAGTCGCCCCCTGCTGGTCAGAGAGAGAATACAGGTTTCAGGCACTTCCATATCAATCACTACAAAAATCTTCAGCAAGGGACAGATTTGACCTTCCTCCTCTTTTCAAACAGTCAGTCTTCTCTTGTCTGTCTGTCTGTGTGTGTGTGTGTGTGTGTGTGTGTGTGTGTGTGTGTGTGTGTGTGTGTGTGTGTGTGTGTGTGTGTGTGTGTGTGTCCTTACAAACCTTCAGGACCCTGACCAGATGGGTTGTACTGTTCAGTGACTGAACCTGCAGAGAACAAGCAGAACCAAGAAAAGAGAAATAACGCGCCTTCAGCACCTGATCTCAGGTCAGATATAAAGCAACAGGACGAGTCTATCAAGACCCTGAATGAGAGCTGATCACAGACCACTGATATGCAGCCGGTCTGTGGTCTTTTTTATTCATGTAAAAACTGAACATCTGTAAAACTTACCAGCCACCTGTGTGTGGTCTGTCACAGCTGGATGACCTGAAACAAACACACACACACAAATGAAACACGTTTCTACAGAAGAAGAACAATCTGAATTCTTCTTCTGTAGAGATAAAAAGGACTTACTGGAGTCAGATGGACTTCCTGTTCCTGTAGGATCTGCTGAAACTACAAGCACACAACGTGTTTAACAAACTCTGCAGTACCACTCACTGGTGGCTATATGGGGGGGGGGGGGGGGGGGGGGGGGGGGGGGGGGGGGGGGCTCACCTAAGCCTGTAGAGTCGGTCGCTGCGGTAACCAGGTCTGTGTGGGAGTAAATGCCTGAAAGTGAAAATCGTGTGTGAGACAGGTAAACAGATACTGAGCGGTGGACGATGGGGTACGACTGTGACATATGGTCATGTGACAGGAAGTGACACCTCACAGGTCAAATAATCTCCTGATGCCGGGTGTTCACATGTGGTTGTCATAGCAACAAGTCTTACCTGTGACATCATGTCCCAGTCCGAGACCTGGGGTCAGACCCAATCAGAAGAGAGTCATGTTTATGTCAGTGAACAAAGCTAATTGATGGTTTATTGATCAGATCAGTTCTCACCTGTCAGATCAATGTGACCCGTCACTGACTCTGCTCCACCTGCTGACATCATCATCAGGTTACTGCTAATTAACTCTTAAACAAACCGGTAGTTCATCAATTAACTGCAGTTTATCTCCAAGTGATCAATAGTCAGACTGTACCTATAAGATCAGTCTGGAGGTCGCTGAGGGAAACTGGTCTGTCAGTCACTGCATATATACACACATATATATGAAAGTGACACAAACATATATATATGTGTGTGTGTGTGTGTGTGTATAGTCACTGATCAGGAGAAATTAAAGTTTACCTCCGTTTGCATCTGTCAGTTGAGTCTGTCGACCGTTTCCTGAAAGACACGATGGCCTATGATGAGCGTCTGTTAATAAAACACTACGGTGCTGTACAGAGAGCAGCCAGCAGGAGGACGTGGTCGTACAGGTGCGTTTACCTGTGTGTTCTCTGTGATCTTCACTGTGTGATGAAGATGATGAGGCTGCGCCAGCTGACGAAGAAAGAACGCGTGTCAGAGGAAAATCCGTCCTGATTGTCAAAGTAAAAGACGTTTGTATACCAACCTTCCTGGGCAGCAGAGTGGGAGGAGCCTGAGACAGAGCTAAAAAGGGATTGGTCAGGTCCTGAGCTCAGAGAGGAGTGGTCTAACCCTGGTTGGTCGATGCTGACATGAGCTGGATGAACATGATCTTCAACAGGACGACACCAGAACAGGTGAGTCTCACAGAAACAAACTTTTTTTAATTGAAATTGAAACAGTCATTGGATGATCCCTGATCACCTGACACCTGTAGGGGGCGGGGTCAGTACCTGTAGATAAATCCAGACCGGAGCTGCTGCTGTGGTCTGCAGACAGAGCAGCTGTCACACCTGAGCTGAACCCTGACACAAACAGAAGCAGACAGAGCAATCGTTCGATCAGCCGACCAATGAGAGACTGGGCTTCATCAGGAGGAGGGTCTTAAAGAGACAGGAGCTAAACCCAAGTGTTTGAGACAGAGGCTGAGGACAGGAGCTGCAGCGATGGACAGTCTGAGGACACTGATTAAAATAATCAACCTGAAGATGAGCAGATGGTTCATTTAACAATCAGGACATTTCTTTGAGTTGTGTCTCTGTCATTTACTGAAATATAAATATAATCACCGACATAAATTCAAAACACTCAGGAAGTAGGTTGTCTCCTCTGTAGTTGGTTGCTTAGTTACAGAAAATCCTCTGAAGGAGGAGCAGTGATGGTGAAAAGTCTTAATAAACGATATAATAAACCTGAGAACTTTCTGTAGAAGTGACAGAAACACACCTGGGATGTTGACGTGAACTTCTGGACTAAATGAATCTGCTTCACCTGGAACCATAAACATTAGATTTTGTTAAAAAAACTGTGATGCTTTTATTTTGAAGAAGTTTTTTGACTTCCTCTTCTTTTGTTGTAGATTGAGACACTGAAACACCTGAGGATCACCTGACCTTAAGTCAGGAAACTTACCCATCAGGCCGAGCACGAAGTCGTGATTGGACGGGTCGATGATTCCTGAAGAAGAAGAAGACAGATGAGTAAACACATTTTTTTGTTTACGCAGAATTTGAACCAGACGACTGAAGATGATGTCATGACGCTGTTTGTTCTGTGTGCCGCCGATCATCTGAGGGAACCTTCGTTAACCAATAATCAGAAGTGATCAAGACCTGATGGTGGCAGACAGACCTCACCTGGACACTCACCTGTATAATCCAGGTGAGAAAATCCTCCCCCGAATGAACCCAACACACCTGAGAGAGAGAGAGAGAGAGACTGAACTTCTTTCAGTTCGCAGTATCTCTCATGTTTCTCTCTGTAGCTCCACCCCCTGTAGCTCACCTGTCTGGCCAGCAGCTCCGCCCCCTCCTCCTCCTCCTCCTCCTCCTCCTCCATTCAGCAGCTTCTGTCCGTTTCCTGAATCCGTCACAATAATCAATAATCAGCTCGATCGATTTCTGCAGAAAAGTTTGTGCTTTGAATGTGACACTTTTATTTTTCAGTTTATCACTGAGTCATTTATCGACATCAATATTTTTACAGATGTTTACCGTTAGACTGCGAGTCGACTCCGTCAGAACCTGCCGACACAAATGTTTCTCGTACATTACCCGATGTGACCCGATGCAATGCTACGCTACAATATATCAAATCACTGAACGTGACGTAGCTTTCGTGTCACAATACTTTACACTGATGTCACTTTACATTGCATTACTGTTGTTATGTTACTTAACATTACGTGACCTGATGCAGTGTCATGTTACAATTCATAAAATATTATCATCGCTTGTGTTTGAATAACGTGTTCTTCACCTGCAGCGTGACTTTGACCAGTAGAGGCACCAGAGAGTCCTAATGCTGCCGCTGCAGAACCTGGGGAACCTGGGAAATCACAAGAACTTCCTTTAGTTCTCAAGAAAGAAACTAACAGGTATGAAATAAGAACCAGTATAACTCACTAGAAATACTTTGTTACTTTACTCAACGAGATCCTCCTGGTGTCTGTACTTTATTTGAGTATTTATTTTTCCGACAACTTTTTACTTTTACTTCCAACATTTTACCACAAATATCTCAACTTTCTACTTTTCATTTTCAAATCAGGCTCGTTGCTTTTGTTTGAATGTGTTTTTGGGGAATTGTCAGTTGTCTGATTTGTGATTTATGTCATGAAAGATGTGGAAGGATGAAACAGACGGACACAACATGAAGGAAGTGAAGCGTCACTGATAACGTCACGACATTCTCTGTCCTGGCCTTATTCAAATGAAACTTTATTCAGTGCATTGTAGCCTAAACATTTCCTCCTGGAAAGATGTTTTTAGTGCATTGTTTTTTATTTTGATTCTTTAAACTCTATTAATGACGTGTCTCCGTTTTCTTTGCTCAGCCAGTACTTACTTTATACTTTGAGTAGAATTCAAAACGTGTACTTAAATACTTTTACTCAAGTAAAGAGGTTGAATCGGCGCTTTACCTGCAGAACTTCCTGTTGCATCACTTGCTCCCCCTGCTGACTGAACACTGGAACCTGAAATCAAACAAGATGAAGTTTATTACCTGGATTTATCTGAAGCTCACGTTAGAATTATTCTAATCATAATGATGTTTATAATATGAGAACAATGTTGAACTTTATACAGATGATTTATATAATCACCTTGTTTTAACTACATTCATATTTTGCATTTGGAAAATAGTCAGGACGTTTGTCACACTCCCTCATTAATCTCACGTCTGAGATTTAATTACGAAGGTGAAGCCTTCAACCATTTTATTTTGTTTAGTTTCCACCATCATGTCAAAATTAAAACAGACTTTTTGAAAATGTGCAAATCAATTAAAGGAAAAAGAGAAACATCATATTGACAGAAGTATTCAGACACTTTTTGCTTTTTACATCGATGTGAACCTGTTGACATAAACCTGGAGTTTGTCTCCAGTGTCAGCAGGGGGCGCTGTGGCTCTGATCCTGGCCTGCTGCAGTAACTGGAGACCTGCAGCATGATGTGGATCAGACCGGGTCACGCTAATCCTGGTCTGAAAACCAGACACTTAATCTGGATTAAACCTGAGACCAAACAGGAACAAGCAAAGTGTTCAGGAGGATACACCTGATCAGGGTCGACTCACCTGAACCTCCGGACGCAGACGCCAGGGTGGTCTGCTGCACGCCAAGAATTCCTGTGAGGGGGAGGGGTGGGGGGTGGGGGGGACAGGATGAATGATGCTTCTGTTTTCTTCAGCTGAAGGAAACTGAGCTGATGAAAAGCAGATTGATGGAGAATCAGTGTCGTTAACATCAAAAGTCTGAAAGGTGTTTTTAACTGAAGAACGGCTGCAGGAATCAAACCACGATGATACAATCGTAGTAAAAATCATTTGTTGTTAGTGACACTGATCATCATCATCGTCTTTCAGCATCTTTGTGTTTATGCAGGTTTATGTTGTCAAGTTATTTTATCCTCTCACCCTCAATCTTATCCTGACTCTTGGAGTCATCATCATCTGGAAAGAAAAAACATCCAACGTTTAAACTTCTAATTAAAATGTTTTTAACGACACGTTTCATTTGTTGAAGAATTTCTTTTACTCTACGATTATTTTCCTGAAAAATCTAAATGTTTCCTCCTTAAACCATCAGCTGATCAAAGTGAGTCTGATGTGTGAAGGTGGAGAACGTCTCCTCCTTCGCTCCCTGAGTCTGTTCTCTCTCTCTGCTGAGTGGGTTCATCTCCTGAGAGAACAAGTGACTGAGAGTCTCCATCAGCTGAAGAGTGAAGCTGAACTGAGATCAGTTCTTAACAACCAGAGTTTATCTCCAGAGTTCAGCAGAAACTTTATAACATGAAGAATCTGAACAGTTTGTTACAGCAGCAGCTCTGCTGGGTCAGGAAGCAGAGGATCATGGGTAATATCCACCATTCAGTTGTGTGTCAGTTCAGGTGAAGGTGGCTGCAGGGGGCGCTGTTGCTCAGTCACAGTGTGTGAGTGTTCAGCGGAGCTCAGTTGAGTGTTTGTTCATTATTTACAGCTGTTTCTAAATGTTTACTGATTTCAATGTTTTCAGTGGAAACTGCTTCTGTTTTCACTGCAACAGATTTTTTACACGTTTTCCTCGAGACTCCGTAAATAACGTGAGAAGATCTGATCTGGATCAGATCACAGTGCTGCTGAAACCAAATCATCTCTATCTCCCCCTGGTGGCTGACTGCAGTACAGCTCATAAACCTCCTCCATGTTAGCAGACGGGACGTGGACCGAATAAAAAAATCTAAGTAAACGTTAAAAATAAATGTTTGTCAAAGATGTTTCTGTCGTTTCAGCTCGTTCTTCTCTCTCTGATGTTTGTTCGACTGTTTCTGATCACTTTGGTTTTTATCAGTTTCAGCTCGACGAACGATCAAAGCTGTTGTGTTGTGAAGACAGAACGAGCAGCTCGTCACCCAGTCAGGTTTTCAATCAATCAATCAATCAATCGATCGATCAGAAACACGTTCTCATGGTGTAGAAACACAAGATTTAAGTGGCGGGAAGCAGCCTTTTCAAAATAAAAACTTGTTTCCATCTCTCTCTCTCTCTCTCTTTCACACACACACACACACACACACACAGGCCTACCCTCCTCCTCGGACAGCTCCTCATCCCCCTCCTCTGTGGTCTCCAACTCCACCTCCTCTCGCTCCTTCTCTGGATAAAAAAAAATGAAATCAAATCTGATGAAAATAGTAAGAGATGAAGAAAGAAGTGAACACGTGTGTACTTTGTGTATTTTTACCCTCGACAGGAGCCGTAGAAACAGCTGCTGCCAAAAAGACGACCAGCGACACCATCAGCAGGTTTCTGGTGTGAAGGTGATCACTGATTATCAATAACTGCTCAGCTGATAATCAGATACAGCTAGTACTGCAGTACTACTGAGATATATTTATAAAT